AGCCCAGGCTGGCCTCGAACTCACAGAGATCCGCCTGGCTCTGCCTCCCGAGTGCTGGGATTAAAGGCGTGCGCCACCACCGCCCGGCCGTTTGCTGTCTTTTTTTTTTAACACCAAAACAAACAAGCAAAGGGATCAAAAGGCATTTTTTCAGTGCCTGTTGTGTTTATGAGGGACGGTGCATCTGATGAGGTCAGAGGACAATTTGAAGGAGTCAGTTGGGTCTCTCCATCTACCATGTGGTAGTACTTGATAGATCTCAGGTTTTCAGGATCAGCAGCAAATGAAGTAATTTTTTTTTTTTTTTTTTGGTTTTTCAAGACAGAGTTTCTCTGTGTAGCTTTGCGCCTTTTCCTGGAACTCACTTGGTAGTCCAGGCTGGCCTGGAACTCACAGAGATCCGCATGGCTCTGCCTCCCAAGTGCGGGGATTAAAGGCGTGCGCCACCACCGCGCGGCCTAATGAAGTAATTTTTGACATAAGAGTATCTAGGATGATCTTCAGCTTGTGTGATCTTCCTGCCTATGGCTTCCCAGGTCTTAGGGGTAATAGAATCTCATTAAAATTTGGCTTTGATAAATAGCGATGAACCAACAAATAAATAAAGAAAAATAAAGAAAAGAATCCAAGTATTGAGTACTCAGCAGTTCTCACCACTCACATGGCGGCTTGCAGCCATTCATAGCTGCTGTTCCAGGAGAACTGGTGTCCTTGTAATGAACTCCATGGACACTAGGTATGCGCCCAGGCGCGCGCGCACACGCGCACACACACACACACAAAGGTGAAACTATCACACATAAGGTAAAAAATAAATTAGACTTAAAAAAATTATAATTTAACCAGGCAAGGGTGGAGCATGTCTTTAATCCCAGCACTCAGGAGCCAGAGGCAGGTGGACCTGAGTTGGAGGCCAGCCTGGTCTACAGAGTGAGTTCCAGGCCAGCCAGGGCTACACAGAGAAACCCTGTCTCAAAATACTGAAATAGATAAATTCACCACGACTGGATGTGGCAACTCAGGAGAGAAACGTGTCCCAAACACAGGAAAAAGTCAGAGACACCCCTAATTCCCAGTGTTGGGAGTCCAATAAGAACATCAAGCTACAATTGTAATGTATACGGAGAGGGCCTAGCTAGCACAGACCCACAGGGCCCTGGTGTACTATTATATATTATCCAGCTGACCCGGAACTTACTGTAGACGGACACTGGTCTAGAACTCACAGAGATCCAAATGCCTTAGCCTCCTGATCGCAGTGATTAAAGGCATGTACAACCATGTCCTCCAATAAATTTTACGCACACACATATATATGTACATATATATATGTATATACAGAGACCTTAATATCTCACAGTATATAAATAATATTTTCAAGCCGGGCGTTGGTGGCGCACGCCTTTAATCCCAGCACTCGGGAGGCAGAGCCAGACGGATCTCTGTGAGTTTGAGGCCAGCCTGGACTACCAAGTGAGCTCCAGGAAAAACGCAAAGCTACACAGAGAAACCCTGTCTCGAAAAACCAAAAAAAGAAAAAAAAATTTTTTCAATACAATTACATTTCAAGAGCACAGCTAGCCGGGCAGTGGTGGCCTACGCCTTTAATCCCAGAACATGGGTGGCCGAGGCCGGCAGCATGGTCTACAGAGTAAGCCTAGCACTGGGGTTACGCATAGAAACCCTGTCTAGGAAGGAAAGAAAAAAAAAAAGATGGATAAAGCAGGGAGGACTAAAAGCCATTTAAGTACGTACCACAGTGCTTCCATTATTCATGTTGTGAATGTCCCTGTGAGAATGGGCACAGAAGTCCATGCAACAGGTCACACCAGAGAAAGGACGGCCTTTCTTATAACCCAGCCGACAGTCTCCAGCAACATCTTCATATTCCACCTTAAAAAACAAAAAACAACAATAAAAGGATGTTTTTTAAAAAGACTTGTTTTATGTATGGGTGGTTTTGTCTGCACGCATCTGTGTATCATGTGTGCAAGTTCAGAAACTAGAAGAGGGTGACAATGGGAGTTTTGGCCACCATGTGAGCGCTGGGGACTGAAACCATGTCTTCAAAAGAGCAGCTAGTGTTCTAAACCAAACTATGTATCTAGCTAGCCCAGATTTTTTTTTCCTCCTTAAATTCCTAAGTGTGAGTTTGGTTTTGCATCTAGATACGTGTACACATGCGCAAGAGTATTAAGGGCTGGTAGGGGCCTGGAGAGATGGCCCAGAGGTTAAGAGCACTGACTGCTCTTCCAGAGTTCCTGAATTCAATTTCCAGCAACCACATGGTGGCTCACAACCATCAGTAATGAGATCTGGTGCCCTCTTCTGGCCTGCAGTCATATATGCTGTAAGGGCTGGTAGATCAGATGCCTCCGTGGATGTAGGCACTTGGTGCTCTGGCTGTTGAGTTAGAAACTGGCCCTCACCCCAAAAGGAACACAATGAGTTTAAGCAGCAGAAAGTACTCATTTTATGAACTATGAGTCAACAGGGCCTGTCTCTGTATACCAGCATAGAATTTATTCATTTATTTTTGAGACAGGGTTTCTCTGTGTAGCCCTGGCTGTCCTGGAACACTCTTTGTAGACCAGGTTAGCCTCAAACTCAGAGATCTGCCTGCCTATACTATTTCAGAGATCTAGCACTGGGATTAAAGGCGTGTGTCACTATGCCCAGCGCTATGTTTATTTATTTTTTAATGTATTTATTTTATACTTACGAATGTCTTGTCTGCACGGACCTGTATGTAGCTCACCATGTATGTACAGCCATTCACTGCCCACAGAACCAAGAGGTCATCGGATAGGATCCCCTGACACTGGAGTTGGTTGTGAGCCATCATGTGAGAGCTCTGTAGAATCTCAAGAGCTCTTTTGTGTGTGTGTGTGGGGGGGGGGGGGGCGGTTGAGACATGGTCTCTGTACATAGACCAGGCTAGCCCTGAGCCCAGAAATCTACCCATTTCTGGAGGGTTTCCAAGCACTGGGATTAAAGGCATGAGCCACTACTGCCGGAACACCAGGAGCTTTTTAAACTTTTGAGCCATCTTTTCTATCCTCCTTTACTCATTTTGAAACAAGGTGCCTTGTGTATCAGGCTGGCCTCCCACCTAGTTCTGTTGCCCCTAGAATTCTGGAGAGCCTAAAGAAGACAACAGAGCACCACCTCTAAACAGCATCTTTCCCCACACCCACTTTGCCTACGGTTGTGATTCAGTTAATGGTAACTGTTTTGACATAGGAAGTTGACGTATGCTGAAGGTCATTTGAAGGGTTCTTAAAAAAAAAAAAAAAAAAAAGTACCTGATTTTGATAAGCAACCGGAGCCATCTGCTTATAAATTGGAGCTAAATTGGTCGCCAAGCCCTGTAACATGTCTTCAAGCCTTTTTTCCTATAGTAAAAAAGAATCCCCGTAAGATAATTTTAAAAGACTGTAAAGTAAGTTAACAGGCACAAAAACTCCACCATAAGTAATGTCATGGCATGGCTGATATATAACTCTTACTTACCATAATACAGTGGGTAGAATACAAGATAATTGCCTTAATCTGAGCTACTAGAAGTTGTGATGGTCTAAGTATATCTTTTGAAATGGAAATTTTAACGTTAGAAACCTATACAGTGAAGGAAATGTTCCAACACTGCTCCTGAACAGAAAACCTATCTGTTTACTTAAGAGAACTGGACACTTGGAGGCAAGGTGGGGGACAGAAGGATGTTTTCCAGATTAGAGAGCAATTTATATAAAGTATTGAATGTATCTGATATCTTGTCCTAGGAGATTCAAATAAGCAGGCCTGTGAGCTTAACGCTTGGTAGGCTAGCACGGAGGATTTTGAGTTAGAGGCTGCCGCGCTCCATTAAAGGATCCCCTATCTTTAAATAAAACATGAGAGGGGCCAGGGAGAGGGTCCCCTTTACTGCTCTTGCAGAGGCTGTGGGTTTCCATATCTACACAACACTGAAAAGAAAAAAAGGAAAATAATGCACTGAGATTTATTAGTATTTAGGGTTCTCTTCTATATAAATGCTACAGATTGGGGGAGATTGAGAAACAATAAGACAATTAATACAATTACCCAAGAATCTAGGTTAAACGGATATGATTACAATTCCAGCACCCCGGGAGGGAGAGCTGTCTTTTATGGTAGTGCCTGTTTTAGTATGTATGGACAAAACAGTGTCAGAGTCAGAGTGTGTAAATCATAATCTGTATGATAGTTTTGGGAAAAGTTTTGAACAGAAACAAGTACCAGCGCTTAACCATTGAGGCTTCTTTCTAGCCTACGCATGGCTTCTTAATGGAGCTTTGCCTGTTGGTGTGCAAGACCGGGACCCTCTACTCTTCTCAGTCACTCCTGATGATTAGGCACCCTGACCCTGCACTCAGGACTGCTCTGTCAACTACCCAAGTCACATGATCCTCAAGATGACATTACTCATCACTCAGGAACTGTCAAATCAACATTCCCACTTTGTACGGAGGAGTTGCCTTGACCGACACAGTCTGATTTCTTCATTTCAAACCAATTTCTTACATCTCCAACCAAACTTGGCACAGCATTAAGTCGTTGGAAAACAGTTACTATCCCCAAGCCTTAGAGACAGTCCACTTGCAAAGCCTCTTGGCTAATTCTAGTTCATAAGTAAGAAAGAGAGCATCTGGAGAAATGTCATGAAAAATGATTGTCCTTAGGTCAAGCCTTTCTATGACTTCCCAATCCTCGCCTTTGGCTTACAGAGCAGATGCACACACCAGCTATATCAGTGTACAGACAGTTGCTGGGTTTCGTCCTGCTTATAAATTTACTTCTAAGGTACTTATGAACAGGTAATTCAGTCATACAGCAGGACAAAAATGAAGTCTCAAGCCCTGGTTTGTTTCCTGAGACAGTTTCTCACTATGTAGCTTAGCTCTGCCTTGCTTTCTACTCCGACCTGCCTGGCTTTGACTTCCAAGTTGTATGTCACTACACCTGGCTTTAGCTTGCCAGATTTAAGGGAGTACAGACAACACATGATAGATATTCTAGAGTTATCTATAGTTATCTACAGAATGTACTTCTATACTTATCTAAAGGTCAAACCCACTTCATTAGTCTTGTTCTGAGGCGTTATATACCTTTAGCAGCAGATAGTACAGGGATTTTTCTCATGAATGTTATGGTCACATATGAAATATGTATAACACAAAAACCACCAGCTTTGTATCATATTTACTACTTATCTTGCATTAAAATGGTTTAATTCCAATGTGCTGAATTGTGTGATTTTCTTTGAATACTTAATCTAAATATAATTTCTACTCATTAAAAGATTACCGATGGGCCAAGCGGTGGTGGTGCATGACTTTTATCCCAGCACTTGGGAGGCAGAGGCAGGCGGATCTCTGTGAGTTTGAGGCTAGCTTGGTCTACAGAGTGAGTTCCAGGACAGCTAGGGCTACACAGAGAAACCCTGTCTCGAAAACAAAAACAAAACCAAAACAACCAAAAAAAATTAAATAAAAATAAAAATATAGTGATTGGTGTATCAGAGAAAGAAATCTGCAAATGCAATAATTAGGTGAAGAACTTTGTTTAGTGATGGTAATTGATCCATCTTTTTTCCCCTAACAAAATACAAATATATCTCCACATTTAGTACCTATGTAGCCGTAAATGCTCAGCTCCAGCTTGACTAGCTGGACTTACAAGTTCATGTTTCCATTTTAAAAAGATGAATAGTTAGTGACTTTGACTAATCTCTGCTCACCAGGGCCTTGTGTTCTGGAACCATCCGTCTAGGTCTCACGGGCTTCACGCGTCTTCTTTTGACAAAACGTACTCCAGTAATTCTCTTATAGTAGCTCTGCGGGTAGAAAACTTTCTCAGTCTTTAGAATGTCGGCAAATGGTCTGCGCTACTCTGACTGCCCAAAAAGTCCTAGCTTCCTGTAATAATGGTTCCCTCTGGTGTTGGGAAGCAGGAAGACAGACCCACAGAAAATTGAAAATAGCTGAAATCTTTACCCGACATATTTAGAATACGTATCTGCATACATATTTTAGTTACTTCTGCTGTTAAACAGCTAAAATTTTGTTCTCAAATAACATAGTTATATCCTGTAGATGGTACAATAAAAATTAAGAAGGAAACTCACGTTTAATGGATGGTTTGGAGCAAGTCTGAATTTTCTGGGGTTCCGGCTTCTGCCAAACTTACAGCCATTGAAATACATGCTCCACGAACAGCCAAAGGAGAAAGATGCTCCACATGTCCTCGGATTGAGGCCTTGGCAGGTGCAGGTGCGACTGGAAGGTGGTGAGCAGGGTGTTAGACAAGGTCACAGGACTCCAGAGCCAGGTACGGATTATGGAAAGGTTACAACAGTTACTACTGCACTTGACTCCTCATTAAAACACACCCTAGCTGCATCTAGCCTCAAATGTACAATCTCATCTCTTCACTCTGAACCCACTCTTGATTCTTTTTTTATTAAAATTGATGTTTAAGGTTCCAAATCCAAGTAGACAACAAACTATCCTTTGCTTGAGGTAGAGAAATTAAAGGCACACCAACACCTCACATAAAGGAAAAGTTACATTGTATCTAAAACGAACATGGGCATAACTTTCTTTTTCCTTTCCATCAAACTGGAAATGAGAATAAGATACACTAACTATACAATGCCCTACAATTTTAATAAAAGGACTTTATGAGGATTACAACAGGCTTAATGAAGAGAAAGGCTCTTTTGTTCAGGAACTTGGTAAATTTAACACCTTGGGACTTCTCTGAAACACTAAATTAGATTATAAATTAACAAGCCTAGAATTTCGGGCCAACCTGGGCTACATAGACCCTGTCTTAAAAATCCAAAGGTAAATAAAGGATTAAAATTACAGAGAGGGGGGGATGAGGATGAATGGTATTAAACACTGAGTCTGACCCAGTAGAGGGCGGGAAAATCCTAAATATCTGAATTTTTTTCCCTTATTTACTGTGATGCTGTGAATGAGCTACTCATCAGCTCTGGGTTTAATTTAAAATTACCTTAAAATGATATAAAATTTATAGATGTGAAAGGCAAGACAATAACCTAAGACTGTATGGAAAAATACAGTTAAGAAAGATGAGGCGTGCTGGCCAATCCGCGTTCCCAGCAGTCCGGACACTATCAAACCATGCATTCCCGTAAGCCTGGTGCTTTAGAGTTGGCTAGGGGATGACGATTAATGTGCTGATAAATGTGCTGCTAGCTCTGCAATGAGCCAAGCCTCAAAAATAAACCAATGGAAGAATCTGCAGACAGGACCAGGGTACAAGGCACTACAAGAACTTAGAAAGGAGGAACCATGGGATGGATGTGAGGTCCAAAGGGTCAAATTCCAACAGAAGGAATTTAAACTTGGTAGACAAATAAAAAATAATTTATATTCAGTTTTTCGGATGATAACAATCCACCACTGAGCTACACACTCTCAGCTCTGCCGTCCTTTTTACACTTTTGGGAAACAAGCAATTGGACAAATGGACAGCGCCCAGTACTTAAGATAATGTGATAAAGAGGCAGGGGAATCAATCATGAGTTCAGGGTCTGTGCTATTTACTAAGAATTGGTCTCAAAAAAACGAAAAATAGTCCTTTGGAAAATTGGCCCAGAATCATTAACTCACAGAGGTATAAAACCCAAAGGGCCAGGAAGGTGGATAGGCTATACACAGATGCTGTGGAATGTCTTTCTGTATGCTGTGAACATGTGTTGCTCTGATTGACTGGTAAATAGAGCTGCATTGGCCTATGGCAAGGCAGGATAGAGCCAGGCGGGAAAATCCAAGGGAATTAGTGGGAGGAGGAAGGAGACGCCATGCCGCCGTCCAGGGAGCAGCTTATAATGGCACACAGGCAAAGCCTCGGAAAACATGGCAACATATAGATTAACAGAAATGGGCTGAGGTTAGGTATAAGAGCTAGCTAGCGAGAGGCTTGAGCTGTAGGCCATAGCCATACAGTTTGTAATTAATAGAAGCCTCTGTGTGTTTATTTGGGTCTGAGCGGCTGCAGACTGGGTGGGACACAGTTTCATACAGATCAGCTGAGGCAAGACTCCTCAAATATAAATAAAAAATAAAAAGGAATGACCACGAGTTCATAGTCATAGGATAGAAGGGGGCACAGGGGTTGGGAGACCAACAATAATAGGAACCAAAGCAAATTTCCATTGATGTTACTTCTGCATTTAAATTTATCGGGAAGAGGCCTCAAATTCTGATGAAGAATGCTCCATTAAAGACCGTTTCCTCACACTCTCTAACAGTGAGTTGGTCCAGATACAGTAACAAAAATAAGAATATTCTAGGTTCTGAGGGTGTCTATTTACATGGTAGATATGTGCCCATTAAGATAAACAAGGCTGAGGACCCATCACAAGCCCTTCACCCACCCCTATGAATTCCAAAGCAGAATACTCTTAAGGGCATTTAAAAAGACACGGAGGAAAAAAAGATAAGCTCTCACTGTGCAGTCTTAGCTGGCCCAGAACATTAAGAAGCTGAAACAAGCTATCCTCCACCTCCTGAAGGGCCAGCTACCTCAAGGTGTGCACACCAATCCCGGCACCCGGCAAAGGTTGATCCTCCTTTCACGGTGTTTAAAAACCCTGCTACTCACACGCCAGGTACTTATACGTTTAGCACAAACAACAGAGAGAGAAAAGTCAAGGCAGTTGAAAGCAAGTCTGATTACTTCTCGTTGAGGGTACATCTTCGGTCAGTAGGATGCCCGCTGTAAGACCTCAAGTTCTCCGTGAGCTCTTTGTACTGATAGTCAGCCATCCAGCGAGGGATGATTTCCCACAGCATGATCACCACGACCATCACCGCGGTCTGACAGGTGTGGCCTACGCGCACCCGGACCAAGCAGAGAACCTTCTCTTGAGGATCGCCTCTCCTAAGCACCTGGAAAAGCAGAATGGATTCATCTATACCAGCTTTATGCACTGGAAGGCCAGACTTATTATTGATATTTGTCCTTTTTGAGGAAAGTCTCATATTGCCCAGGACTTTGACTCTTTGTAAAAAATTAAAGAGAGAGAGGGAGAGGAGGAGGGGGAGAGAGAGAGAGAGAGAGAGAGAGAGAGAGAGAGAGAGAGATTTTCATTAACTTAAATTTCAAATTTACAGTGTTTACATGTGAATATATATATGCAGCCTACGAAAGGAGCTTAGTGTCTGGGGGTACCAAAAGAGAGTGTCAGGTACATGCCGTTTTGGAACACCATGTAGGTGCTGGGAGATGAACCTGGGACCTCTGTAAGAACAGAAATTCTCCAGCCCCGGAAACAACTTATATTCATCAAGTCTTTGCACTGGAGAAGCTTGCCTGTCGATGGCTGGGACAGAATTTTCCTTTCTCAACCACACCTTGCTTAGGTGGACTGATCATTGCCCGGGAACAATGTGTGGAGACTACAGTCATGGGACACTATGCCCAGGGGAAGCTGCTTTTGATTAGGGACATTTGTCTTATTTGAAGAAATCTATAGGGAAAAACAAACTAAACACATTAGTTAGGAGCTGTGTAAATTCTCAGAATGTTGAAGGCCAAAGAAATGTAGCTACCATGGCAGAAGAACACTTGTCTAGATTTCATGCAATCCCAAACAAAACTTTCTGATTCATTTGTGTTTGATTGTAAAAAAGTTTCCTTTTATTTCTTTAGGTTTTCAAGACAATGTTTCTCTGTGAAACAGTCCTGGTTTTCCCTGGAACTCAAGCTGTAGACCAGGCTGGCCTCACACTCACAAGATCTACCTGGCTCTGCCTCCTGAGTGCTGGGATTAAAGGCGCTTCTACCATGTTAATAGAGCAATTAAACCTAAGGAGAACATGACCTTCAATGTAAAAAGTATGGACTTTTTGGCTGGGCTATAGCTCATATAATGGAGCGCTTGCTTAGCTTGCCTGAGTCTCTGTCACTGTGCTCAGTCTTAAACACCACACTGTGCTCAGTCTCAAACCCAGCACAACGAGACAGGTGCCCCCGAGGTAGGGGCAGGAACCCAAGTTTGTGATGATCCCTGGCTACACATCTAGTTTGAAGCCAGCCTGGGATATATGAGGCTCGGTTTCAAACAAATAATATTAATAGTCTTTTTTAATAAATGTTACCAGTTGGCTGTCTTCATGGGGTAGGAGGCATGGTTTGGTTTTGCCCTGAGCCTGCCAACAAGACTGACAGCCAGCTAGATGTGCTGGGGCATAACTTTAATTACAGCATCAGAAGATCAGGAGGCCAGCCTGCTCTTCATAGGCAGTGGAGGCCAGCAAGGACTACACAGAGGCAGCCTGCCAAACAAGAGCAAAAAACTGACAGCCCCATGTGCCTGATATGTTGGATGCCTGAAGCTCATGTGGTACAAAGCATTGGCTGTCTATAGTCATCTTCTAGTCAACAAATGTGCCCTAAAATATGACACCCAGCCAATCACTGACACACACTTATGATAAAAGCATAAATCATATGTATGATAAATATACATTATGTCATTTGTACCGTGTGTATGTTAAAAATGCTAGAGGTAGGACCAGCAAGGACGGGACCTGAATTAGAGTGCCCAGAAGCAACAGTTAGGCTTGGTGGCACGGACATTTAAACCAAGAGCTCTCAGTCTAGAGTTCCTGGCCAGCCAATCAGCCATACTGAAAAGCTGTTTAAAATATCTGGAGGCCTGTCATAATAGTAAGGGGCTTGATTGGCATGCAAGAGGCCTTGAGTCCCATCCCTTGGACAACAAGAGACCTAAACAAACAAACAAACAAACAAACAAACAAATGAAATGATCGCCCTCCAATACACCATTCCACCCACACAAACATGAAGGTAAGACAAATCTCAAAGGCATTTAAAATGAAAGCTACAAACGATCAAAACTTGAAGAAATGAACCTTGGGGACAAACATGAAAACCGCAAGTCACTTTCTCCTAAGATTTTTCAGAACCAAGGAAACTCTAGGCAGCTCTATCTGCAGTTACAAAACTGCACTTTCGCTCCCCTCCTTCTCTTAGCAGAAGTGGGGATCATTGTTTCTAGGGTGGAGAGGGACAGAAGCAGGTGACCGACCTATCACAGAGTTATAGCACTAGACAGAGGCTTATTCCAGGAAGCGACTTGTACGTACATAGAAAGATAGACATAATTTGTGAGGTGGGGCTTTTTGCACAAATGAGTTAACTGAAAAGAAAACTGAAAAAATTGGCTTCCGGTTACCACAGACTCACACCACCACCACCAAGTTTTGAAGTTGCTCTGTAGACCAGGCTGGCCTCTAACTCAGAGATCCGCCTGCCTCTGATTTCCGAGTTCTGGGATTAAAGGCGTGAGCCACCAGAGCATGGCCAGAACTATTGTTTTTAAATTATTGTATTAACTTTATTTTATACGTGAGTGTGTGTACCACATGCACGCATGCACGCATGATGCTTGACATGGCTGCTGGGAACTGAACTTGGCACACACTCAACCGCTGGATGTCTCTTCAGCTCTAAGGTGTGTGTGTGTGTGTGTGTGTGTGTGTGTGTGTGTGTGTGAGAGAGAGAGAGAGAGAGAGAGAGTCTGCCTTTTCAAGTTTTTTGTTCTGCGGCAGGAACAGAGACTCCTGTGTACAGAGAGCTCAGAGCACAGCACAAACACTGGTTAAAGAAAGAATTAAACCACGAAGTCCAGTGGAGTTAGATTCCAAAGACCAAAGCTCTTACTATTAGACAGAAACATTGTGAGGGTCCAAACTGTCGGAGCTTCCGTTTCAGTGCATGCTTATAATGCCAGCAATTAGAGGCCAAAGCAGGAGAGCCCCAGGGCCCAAGGCCAGCCGGAGCTGTATGAGACTCTCAAAATTGAGTAAGTGAAAAACAAAACAAACAAATAAAATCTCATTATTTTACAACTAACACCATGTGTCAACTTGTAAATTGTGGGAGCCAAATTGCAATGGGACTTGAGAAGAAAAAATGTTTTCCCCAAATCTTAAGTCTCTTCATGAATACTGTGTTGCTTCCTAAGCACTTAGTCATTCATATATTTGCTATGCTCTGGGGCCAAGGGAGTCCCAGGGCTTACTGAGCAAGCCTGTTTACTGTGCAAACACAAGGACCTGAGTTCAAATCCCCACCAAGCACTAAAAAGTTGGACATGGTCATGTATCCCTCTAATAACCAGGGTATTGCAGACCAAGCAGGTAAATGAAATGGGAAGCTTCTGGCTCCTTGTCTTGGAGGAATAAGGTGATCAGCAGGAGGGAGGTCCTGCCACGCTACTCACATGCTTGATATGCATTCACATTCACCCTCCCCATATACACCAAAGCAAAGCCAAGACTTATTGTTTTATACCATACGCTACATGTTATGAAACTTATCATATTCTTCAAAATATCTTGCATTCTATTATCATTTTGGAGACTGGGGTCTTGGTACATAGTGCATGGTGGTCTACAACTTATACTTTGGCCTCCTGAATACTGGGATGACAGGGTCGTACCTCCATACCTAGTGTTTTCTTGTTTCCATAGATACCGGTACTAGAGATTTCCTCTGCACATAGAATTCCCCCTCTTATCGATGGAGAATGGGTCCGCTGAGCCCATTCACCTCCTCTCCCCAGCTATTCCAGCCTGGAGTCTGGGGAATGCACACTTGACGTACAAGTCCCAGCTCCAGCAACACAATAGACATTTTTAAATGTGTGTGTGTGTGTGTGTGTGTGTGTGTGTGTGTGTGTGTGTGTGTGTGTGTGTGTTTGGGGGGGTGGGAGGCTCAATAACATAGCACTTGTCTAGCATGTACAAAGTCTTGGATTCAATATTCAACCACAACTAAATATAGGTAATTTTAAAATTCTCTCTGGGCTTGGTGGGGTGGGGGTGCTTGCCAGGACCTCGGGCAGCTGTATCTTTGAGTTTGGGTCAGCCTGATCCAGATAGTCCCTTGCATTTTAGTCATTCTCATTGATTCAGATTACTTCATGGCATGCGTAAAGCACGTTTTGTTGCTACATTCTTTAGTTGATGGTCATTGGTTACCCACCCTTTTGACAATGATTCCTGCTGGATGGGTACTTAGAGATTTGTGTACATCAGTTTGGTTCCTTTGAGAAGATATGTTGAGGCAGGTGGTATTGTTATATATAAGCAGGTAGGTTCAACTCTTTCAAAATGAAGGAACCATTCCCATTAATTAATGGTGGATAAAGACGTTACAGTTTTTTAACAATGTTTTCAACAAATTTAGTGAAGGCACTCATCCAAAACAATGTAGAGCCAGCAAGATGGGCAGAAGTCAGTGGATCCCCAGAACCCATAGTAGAATTAGTTTTTCTCTGCAGCATGCATGTATGCACATGCACACATGCACTAACAAAAATAAACAAAATATGGCCATCAGAAAAGAAAAAAATTAAAGCAGACTAAAAACTATTTGTTCATAGTAGCCATGTCTGTAACTGTGGGGTCTGAGAGGCTATGGCAGGAGGTTCATACACTTGAAAATGTCCTGGATTATATACAGACAATGAGTTCAGTCTGAACTGACCAAAAAAAACCACAAGCAGAAAATTTAATCTTTATACTCAGGCCTATGAGTGTTTTGCCTGCATGCTTCTCTGCTCCACACAAAAATATGCAGTACAGACAATCGTGAACTACTGTGTGGTGCTGGAAGTTAGACCTGTGTCTTTGGGAGAATACCCAGAGCTCTTAAGCAAAGAGCTATCTCTCCAGCCCTTACATTCACTTATATAGTCAAACAGCAAACCAGATTATGAGACATTCCGTGACCCATTCCCTGGGTCTAACGGGGACCAAGTTGACGTGTGGTCCCCTTTGGTTATTGCCATGCAGTGCTAGGTGGAATTTCTTGGTGCCTTTGATGTACATGACCACTAAGGACACGGAGAAGCTTCCATGTCTCAAGATGTGTATACTGCATGTGGCAGAGGAGACTGACATCCAAACAGGTTTACTCTCAGCTAATTTTAATCTCACGCATGTAAGTCCGCGTATCTAGAAGTCCTTTATCACATACATGGTTCATAGACACTTTCTCCAGTCCCTGCCAACTCTATTCTCTATTGGTAGTA